TCCCTTTGTCTCCGGTCTTGTCTCCCTCCTTGTTGGTCATTGTGTCCGCCTTGTCTTCCTTCTTGTCTCCCTTTGTCTCCGGTCTTGTCTCCCTTCTTGTTCGTCATTGTGTCCGTCTTGTCTCCCTTCTTTTGCCTTTTGTCTCCCTTCTTGTTGGTCATTGTGTCCGCCTTGTCTCCCCTCTGCTTCTTTTTGTCTCCGGTTTTGTCCCCTTTGTTGTTGGTCACTGTGTCCGTCTTGTCTCCCTTCCGTTTCGTTTTGTCTCCCTTCTTGTCTCCCTTCTTGTTCGTCCTGGTTGGTCATTGTGTCCGCCTTGTCTCATTTCTGTCTCCCTTTGTCTCCGGTCTTGTCTCCCTTCTTGTTGGTCACTGTGTCCGTCTCGTCTTGTCATTGTGTCCGCTTTGTCTTCACGCTTGTCTCCCTGTGTCTCCGGTCTTGTCTCCCTTCTTGTGGGTCATTGTGTCCGCCTTGTCTCCCTTCTGTTTCCTTTTGTCTCCCGTCTTGTCCCCCTTCTTGTTGGTCGTTGTGTCCACCTTGTCTCCCCTCTGCCTTCCTTTCTCTGCGGTCTTGTCTCCCTTCTTGTCTCCCTTTGTCTCCAGTCTTGTCTCACTTCTGGTTGGTCACTGTGCCCGTCTTGTCTCCCTTCTGTTCCCTTCTTGTCTCCCTTGTTGTCTCTCTTCTTGTTGGTCATTGTGTCCGCCTTGTCTTCCTTCTTGTCTCCCTTTGTCTCCCTTCTTGTTGGTCATTGTGTTCGTCTTGTCTCCCTTCTGTTTCCTTTTGTCTCCCTTCTTGTTGGTCATCGTGTCCGCCTTGTCCCTCTTTCTGTTTCCTTTTGTCTCCTCTTGTTGATGTATCAAAAAGTGACTTGGGAATGCTTCGTTGCTGTCTAACCTGTTTGGGGTCTACGGTGGTGTATTTTCACATATATATATATATATATTTGTGTCTTTAAATCTGTGTATATATATATATTAGTTGTTGTATTTTTCATTTGTTTAATGCCTTTCTTCATTGCTTATCGCCATGCCGCTTGAGCAAGGTGGCCACCGCAGCCAAGCGGCAGCTGATGCGGCTCTGGCAGGTGCCTTGCAGGTGCGGAGACGAGGAGGAGAGTGGAGGAAGCAGAGAGATTGATGTCAGCAAGTCTGACCTGCTTAGTAAGGAATGAGGGAATGGATCCCAAATTCATATCTCTGGGGAGCTCATTCGGCTCATTTTCTACAAGGCACCAATCAGCAAGTTGGACCATGTTTTACAACTGTCAAATCTGGAGTTATGCTACCAAGGAACCCTTGAATCGCAAAAGGATTCCGAGTTCGCTCCATTGGTCAAAGCCAATGCAGCACTTGTTGTTGAAGGGAGGTCGTGCCCAAGAAGATCTGGAACACTAGCAGCCCAAAGGAGTCTTCCGGTGCCGTCATGCCCTTTCCAGGACCGAAAGGAGTTCCGAGGGTTCACGTGCCCCATAAGAGAGGCAGGAGGAAGAGCTACACGAACAACAAAGGGTTTTCCAACAGGGCTTTGGATTGTTTTGAGGAGAGCTCCGTGTTCGGAATCACCCACTGAAACGCCAGGAAGGTGCGGTGGCACGCGTCTACAGGCTGACCCGGTAATGCAGAGTAGCAAAAAGACTGGCCAAAGACTGAAGCAATCTACAATCACACTACTGTCATATAGTGTAGCGTATCAGCATTTTGTTGGACATCGCACACAAAGCAGGATTTGCACGTCATGCAGTCGTTTTCATTTTGACGGCACAACACCCCAGGCACGGTTTTGATTCGATCCATTCCGAATGACGGATCGGAGACAATGGGACAGGGTGCAGCGGGCTTCGTCAAAGGGACGTTTTGGATGTTTTGGAGACCCACACGCCATGAGTGGATTCATTTGCTCTTTCAATGGTACCAGTGGTCATGTGGATTCTTGACCACTGGCGGCCCTCCCATTTGGATTGGTTTCAGCCTCTTCAGGCTTGGGGGGTTTGATGAGAGAGTCCGCGTTGATGGTCTCCAGGCACCGATCTATGTGGTGCATCGGCCACGCCGCCAAATGGCTCAGTCAAACCGGCTCACCGGAGTCCGATCTATTTCAGAGCACGGAAGCATTGGACACGGAAAGTGGAGGATGAATGTGGTTCATTGTTCACAGTGGATTTTAGAGAGGACTTTCTGGGCCACATGGGTTTCTACCAATTGCAAGCTCATGCACAAAAAGGATGGTGTAGCACCTTATCTCCATGGACGGACAGCTGAATTTCCAGCATCGAACAGTATCACCGTATCTCCTGGCTTTGGATTATGAGGCATGCTCCCCTTATATATATAGATACAAAAAGAGATACCAACACACACATATATATATATTATACCTAGATACAAAATATAAAATAGACATAATATATATATACATGATATACTCACATATAATGAGCATTACGTCCGGGAATCAAGCACCTCGTGGCCTCCTGCAGCAAGATTCGCGTGGTGACCACACGGTTTGAACAGACCGAATCGTGTTTCCAAAAGGACGGAATTCTGTTTTGGAGAATGACCAAAAATGGCAGAAGATGACAGAAGATGAAGAAATGTTTAGAATTGTTTTAAAGAATGGCAGAAGATGCAGCTACGATCTTCCTGTTTCATCTTCATATCTTTGCGTCATTGGGGCCTGATCTCTGGACCGTCAGACCAAAGAGCAACCGTTGAACCCTATCTCTGACAAAACCTACCCACCAGGCACCATGCACAAGAGTGGCAGACGCAGAGTGATCCGGACCAGCCTTGGCCACAATGCCATGGCCAGCTTGCTGGCGGCTTACTCCTCGTGGCTACAACGTCGGCCACTGACCACGAAAGGAATCAGTGTAGCTTGGCCACCTGGGACGGGCTTGCCTCCGCAGAACGAGTGCTGCCACGACGCAGGACGTTTTCATGCATTATTTTTTCGCAAAGACGATAGGACGAACATCCATCAATGGAGCTAACCATGGTGGACAAAACGGGGCATGAGCTACCGTAACAGCCTTGAGGCTGGGCTCCTCTTCAGCCTCGGTGACTGGTTGGCTCAAAAACTTGAGGCCGGGAGGTTTGGCGCTCCATGCTTTTTGGTGGCCTTGTGGGAAAACATCGGCCGCAAAAGTCCCCCAATAAACGAAGAGTTCATCACATAGATTAGATTGCATTTTACTATTGGTTGATATTCCCAAGTGTACAACCAATAGGTATATAAACGGTACCAAACCAACCTCTCCATTCATCCCAAGCTCGGACACCACTGGTTCATCATTTCCAAGAGGTGTTGGGAAGGGCGTTCTGTTCTGTTTTGAGGGTCGAAGGGTCAGAAGGCCAAAGGAAGGAGCGCTCCGAGCTCCCAGGGTTTCTCCAAGTCTTAGGGATTTCTTCTGTCACCAGGCAGAGCTCCCCGATGTCTTTCTTTGTGGCTCTTTCTCAAAGAACCATCCATTCTTGAGAATGATCGTGGGCACAGCAAACCATTTGTTTGTCTCGCATAAGTCACATCATTTTGTATTGCTTTCCATTCTTCCCCTTCACTTTCATCTATACCTCTTGCTTCAGCGACGACCCGGCCCTCTTCGAACACCCCCGAAGACCTCGGACAGTCTTCTGGATCCGCTTTTCAGCCAAGAACTTGGGAACATTTGAAACAAATGCAGAGTGCGGAGGTTTTCTGGACACCAGATTCCATATCAACCTATCCCAACCCTCCCAACATGCAACACCCAGCTGTCTGAACGCCATCGGACTCCTTCTTCGAGTGCGCCCGATCGGCAGTCGGGTGGCGCCTCTCCCGATCTGCAGCGGCTGGCGGCCTTTGGAAGCTTTGGAGCACCGAAGACCTCAAGGGGGTTTGGACCGTTTGGTGGAGCGATACACTTGATTGAAGTAATCATGGTAGTGGAAGTTAACCAGGAGGGAGAGCGGATCGTCTCCCATCGGCAGACGTTGTCCGGCTTGGAAAGTCATGGTGCCGTTTCGTTGACCCTTGGATTTCCTCCATCAGAATATCTTGCAGTGATTCCGGGATAAAGCGAGGGACTCAGGTCCTGAACACAAGTGAAGTCAGTCCTTCTGAAGGGTCAGACTCCGCTCTTCACTCATCTCTAGGGGTAGCTTCTGAGCGGTCCGTGAGATCCTTGGGGGTTCTTGTGAGATCGGTGTGCAAACCGCTCACAGGTCACACGCAAAACACATGAGACCCTTTGGTGTGAGTGATGTAGAAGCGCACCGAGATGGACTTTTGGAAGGAAGCGCCCTGAACTTCCGTAGCACGGCGTCCGTGAACATCTCCTTGCGGACTGTGGGGTTGTCTTCGTGACATACACCGATTCCTCTGCAGAAAGGGCCGCGGAATCCTGCCACGACCAACGCAGTTCTTTCATGTTCGAACTGAAAAGGTCAAGGTCCAGTACGGAGCCCACAACTTCGGTCACCCCACCTTTGGTCACAGGCCAATCCGTCAACGGCGCTGTTGAATGGCTTTTGATGGTCATTGACCGATAGCGTCTCATGTTGCTTGCGCTTCAAATACCGAAGTTCTGAGCGGCTCACATACACATACATGGAGGCGGGATATACTTGACATAGTGACATATTGCACAGATGAGGCATCCTGGTATGCCATCAGCCAGCACTATTGGTTCGCTTGGATGGACTGGAACTCAGCTGAAAGAACCAAGACACTCCTTCAATCTGTTCTCGCTTGTTCACCCTGCACTTCTTTGAACGTCAGCAAGAGCCCTCTTAATTTTTTTCCGAACTCCTCAAAGTATCTCTAGCATCTTGAATACCATCCTACTTACTCCATGATTCACCTTTCGAAGAAGCCCATTTGGTTCATCCCATCTCTCCAGGAGCGCCGCGTGGCGGTCGGCTGGAGCCCGACCCGCGCCGCGCTGGCGCGGGTCGTCACGCACTCCGCGGTCTATGCGCCCTTCAGTGACCTGGTGAAATGGATCCGGAGGGGAAGGGACACCGAACAATGGTGGCATTTTGTTGGGGGGGCAGCAGGCGGGTCTGTTTGAAAAAGAAGAGAGAATAGAAAGGTTTTCTCTGAAAACAGAGTGTCACTAAAGAAGACGTCCTTTTCAGGATCTTGAAGGGTCTTTTGGGGGGTTGGCATAGGCTGACAAGGATGGCATGGTGCTCCATTTCGGAAGAAATATATATATATATATATGTTTTTTTTTTGGGATACATATGTACTTTAATCAATTCCCCAATAGCGATGGCTTGGGGTTGTACACTCTTTAGGCGACTGCGCGCCCCCCGGCCTGCGCGCGGGTGGTGTCCCGGTCTCTCGGCCATTGTGTCCTGGGCGGTGTCTCGGTCAAGCTCAACGGTGGATTGGTCACGTCGGTCAAACCTGGAAAATGCTGGGGTTGGCAGAGCTTTCTGCGAGCAGAGCTGGTTCGCCATCAGTTCACCAAGAAGCAGCTGGCGAAGTTACGGCATAGTGCAATGTTTTGCGCCAAGTTTACCAATGTAACGGATTCCAACCTGCGAAGCTCCATTTCTTCTACAAACTCCTCACGCAAGTGGGCTGTGGCTAAACAATGCAAAAACCTGGGTGCAGAAGGCGCAAAGCTCCGATGCGTGAGGATCGAACTTGGCTTTTTGATTGGTTCTCAAAGCCGCTAACGTCATCCCCTTTACCACCAAGTGGAACTGTTGGTGGTCCTTCAAACCATGAAGCTGTGCCAGTGTCACGGGCCGGTTTATCGGAGGAAGTCCCGCACTGTTTAGCCTAAGCTTATCCGAAACGATCTGCATCATTGCCACTCAATTCTGCCTGTGATATACACCGATCCGGACTTTGAAATCTGACAAGCCGCATTAGATGTTTTGCTTGCTTCGCTACCGTTGGTCTACACAGATGGAAGCGCAAAGCAAGCCTGACCGCAGCCTGGGCCGCGGTCTGGCAAACAGTATCCAACGTTCAAACCCGCAAACTCACTGAAATCTTTTAGGTGTTCGCTTTCGGCCCTGGACTTCAGTCCTACTGCACTTGGCTCTAATCTTTTCGCAGGCTTCCAGGATTTTCCACCTTTTGCTGCTCGCCCCCCGTTGGCCTCAGCATCACCTCAGAAGCCCTGCTAGCCTGTGCCTATTTGCTTTCGTTCTTGGTTTCACCTCAGTGATGATCAGCCGCATTTGGACTTCAGTCAGTTTTGTAGTTCCAATGGCTACCTTTTACACTGACTCACGAGGAACTTCCACCCCAGGTTCCTCCACCATTGCAAACACTATGACCTCCTGTTTGAATGTTGGTGTTTGCTGCGCAAAGGCTGCTTTATGTTTCATAAAGTTGCTTCCCATACCACTGACACACCGTTGGAACAGCAATGGAGCTGGCTGGGAAACGATCTGGCGGACACTGCTGCCAAAGCTGCACGACGTCGATATCAACACTTGAATATATATTTTCCAAGCGCTGCAGTTGGTGGCAAAAGTATTTGCAATGTAAAAATATGTTTCGTCTGACAAGAGCATCCTTTGTACCGTAGACCGTAGACGTATAAATTCTTTGTTGTCGAGTGAATGCATTTTTTGCTTCCATAGATATTGACTTTTGGTGCCTTTGTAAAGCACTAGCATTCGCAATTATGTTTAGACTCCGAGCTTTCGTGTCCGAACGCATATCTTTGGTGGTGCCAATGCTTAAAGTCACGGCTACATTCATTGTACCTGTCGTGTATGAATTATGGGTCGTCCTTGAAAATAGATGTTCATTTCTTTTGGTAGCAGTATATATTATATTGTTGTCGTGTGTGCAAACTCATATGTTATGATATCCTTTGAAGCGTCTCATTGTTCGTGCGTGCGTCCATGTCTAAGCACTAATTGTGCTTGGTGCAATATTTTTGAGTACACTGTATGTCTTGCGCTGGCATTTGAAGAACTTTTGTGAGTCTAACAGTTCATATGTGTGTTGTTTGTTTTTTTTTGGGGGGGGGGCAGGCACTTGAACAAGATTTTCGGCAGTTTGCAAACATTCCTTAAATGTTTCATGGTCTATGGATGTTTATGCAACATACATTTTGCCTGGATATTGAATCTACGTTGTAACTTTGTGGAGACAACTATGCCGCGATTGCCTTGTTTTTGTGGAACATTGTTTTCGATAGTTTATAGATGAAAACACAACGCGCACACACAAAACACGTGTGCCAGATCTTGGTGGATGCTTTGCTATTGTGGTTGTCAGCTTGTTAATTTTTGTTTTTCAGGGAGTTTTGGCCTTTCCCCGCCCCGCTTCCCCGGACCGTCCTCCGCTTTCTCTCGCGTTCCTCTTGCTCCTTGCCATGGTTTGCACATGGGGCCCGTTTTGGTCCGCGGAGGTATCGTGTCCCTCTTCGCATGGATGGGCTGGGCCCATGGAGAGTCCAGTGAGGAGCTGCTGGCACACTGTCATCCGGAGGTCAGGAGCCGCGACAAACGTGGGACAAACGTGGGTTCCAAACTCTCATTCTTTTTTGGTACGGTGTAAATGTGTTGGGTTCGGGGCTGGCGGGATCCGATCCTGGTCTCTGTTTGTTTTGAGGTTTTTTCTCGGTGGTGGATTCGTCGATTATTTGGTAGCGAGGATGGCGAGGTTCACAAATCAATGGGAATGGGGAGTATGGTTGGGTGTCCGAGTTTCGATTAGACTCAAATTGCCATTTTGTTACACACATGCTGGATGATGGGAGAAACCTTCCACCCCAGTACCACACATGATGTGTCCATCCCGAGATACGCTGGTCCATCGGCGCGTTCCAGGCGGTGTTTGGTGTTTGGGCCGCCGGCACCGTCTTTTGGATCCCCACGATGTTGGCCGTCTACCGCCGCCTGGTGAAGGTTGTTACATGGAGGGTCGGCTGCTGAGGTCGGGGCTGAGGCCTGAGGTGGGTGTTGAAGGATTGATGTCATGTAGACTCTTGATTTAGCGTCCTTGCTCCTAGTAGCGATGCCACTCCTAGTAGCGTCCTTGCTCCTAGTAGCGATGCCAGGAGCCCCTAACAAGACGTCCCCATATGAAAAGGCGGTGCAATCCAAGCTGTTCGTCTCTACAAGGCTGTTCGCCTCTACAACTCCCTGGGTGTTGGCACGAGCTGGCGTGTTGGCACTCCAAGCTATTGGTGAAAACGGATTACTTTCAGGATTCATGAGAATCACAGCCATGAAACACTGAAAAGAGGGTGAAGAAAGAAACATTAGATCTCGGTCCAGTGAATTGCAATGGACCAAGATTGACGAGTGTGCCATTTCCTGTCAAAGAAGATCAACGACCAAATGGGGTGTTTTGGTGGACCGCCCTGAGTCAAGAAGAGCGTCCAAGTCTTTTTCGTCCAAGGCTTTGTGCCGCTGCACGGCCGAGTGGCCTGGGGCCCTCAGACCAGTGGTTTTGAAGTCGTCTTTCATCAGAACAGTGAGACCTACTCACGTAGCAACGACGCAGTATTTTTTAGGTCAGAAACCAGAATCCTTAGATGTTTCATGGTTCTTCTCTTTTCCTTTGTTCTAAAACATCCAGGACGGCTTTGATGGGCGTCGCCCTCAGTCGTGGGTTCACCAAACACGAGGGTCGTCAGCGCCAAACACGAGGGTGCACTCACATAGAGGCTGATCTTTCGGCTGTGTGGGTTACGGTGATGCTGCAAACTCCCCCCCCAGGAAGCTGGCAGCCTGCGCGGGTTCTCGGCCGAATCCCGACCAACCCGGCACGAGTTCTCGGCCTCTTCGCATCTATATAAGCGGTGTCCTTGTGGGCGGTGTTCACCATGGAATCTCCGGCGCCGGCCCCCCCCCCTCCAAAAGGGACCTGTCCCAGGTCTCCATCTCAACCAGTTGGATTCTCCTGGATTCAGATGGCCGAAGAATGAGGTTGTGACCTCTGGGGCCAACGTGCTTTGGAGCTGCTACCTCTCATGGACTTCAGCTCGGAAGAGAGCGGACCAAAAAGCCTTACGCCGAAGAACCGGGTGGAGGAGTTGATCACAGGGTGACCCAGAGAAGATTTCGACCAAGATGCAAACCGCTCCACTCCTTCTTTTCAGGTTCAGAAAACCACACATCTCCCAAGAGTTGCGGGTCACTTGTGAGCTCGTTGATGGCCAGGTGGAGGTCGTTGTCGGGTCGTTGTAACAACTCGTTGTTCGTAGCTTCGCAGGCCGTTGTCGGCCCCTGTTGGTCGCCTGAATTGGGTCGCACCAGGGGTGTCTTCCGGTGTTTCTACCGGCACCGTGTTAGAGGCCCAGTTGCGACTGCGAGCTGGGGGATCTGGTAGCGCTGCAGAGCCATGGTGGGGGTGGCCCTCTGCCGGGAAGCCAGGTGAAGGGTTTCCTGATTGAGGAGGGCTCAAGGAGGTGCAGGTTAGTCTCCATCCAACACTTGTGGAAGTGGAATGCCTTCATTGAGTAAAGGGAAGAAGTCTTTCACAAGGGGCTGTGCCATACTTGTTAGATAGGGGTAGCCCAACATCCACCAAGACCCTCTATGGGGGTCACAGAGTCACACCCCCCGTTGATGCGTGTTTTTGATTGGCTGATGGTAGCGATGCGGTAGGGATCCCTGTTTAGTTGTGCCAGTCGGAGTGGGGAGGTTGTTTCTGTTGGCAATTTGGTTTCTCACTCAGCACCTGGAGTGTAAGTTTGATCCATCTCGTGCTTGAGTAGGGCCTGGGAAATCTTTTGGGGGGACATATGTGCTTGTAATGCTATTTTTCCGGCACTGAGCCTGATTTTGCCAACTTATCATTTGGCTGGCTTATTACAAGGTTGAGGGCCCGTGCTTGTTGTGGCAGTTGTGGTGCCAACTGATGGACCGTCAACACAGACCTCATCCGTCAACGACCAGGTCCAACTGGGTATGAATTGGTCAGAAATGGCTGGACGCATGTCTCTTCGCAGTTGGTGAGTTAAAACCACCAATGTACTATAAATATATATATATATACATTTTTATATATTATATATATACCAATTTCCGGAGTTCAAACTAAATCTAATCCTCTCAAGAACAGTCCACTTAAAACTTCAACCCCAAGCCTCAATCGGTCTTTTCTCGTGAGCGACCAGCGACCCGGGAGTTTTGGCCTAATACTCCGTTTGCTCAGCCTTGTTCATCAACCAGTGGACAGTGGACACTGCCTTGGCATGCAGTCACACCACATGGCCTTCACATCTTTCAGGACGAACTGTTGAACATGGCGCAACCAGTGGTCTTGCAGGTTGTGGCTGGCAAAGACATGACTCTTGTTGGTGAACTTGCAATATTGCTAGTGCCTACGAATAGGCGGATTTATGCCCAGCTGCTGCGGATGATTCTTGGGCTTGCTTTTTGGCGCGCGCTGTCTATTTCTTTCTTTAAGATGGCCTTCTTTAGCGCGTTCTGCTGCCCTTGCTGCTCTGCGGCTGAGGAAGCTCCTCAGCCTTTTGGAGTCGTGAACTCCGCGTTCTCCGCCGCCATCTTCAACTGCCAGCAAAGCATTCTAAGTCTCCGGACATGCCCTTTACATTTTTCCTTCCCTGGAAGTTGAGGCAGGCGCCGTACGACACCAAGTCATTGAACTGGGAGAGCAACTTCACATGGGCCAAGAACTTTGTGCTCGGATCACGCCCAGCCCGCCCAGCCCTCTTTCTTTCACAACCCCCTGAGCCCAGAGCCCTTTCGTTTTCGGGGTTTTAAGTTCTGAAGGGCGTTTGTCTGGGGGTCAAATGCCAAACCTCCACCTTCTGATCTCCAAGCTTGACTGGCACCATCTCCGGGCCGATCAAACGAAGCTCCGTCTTCTCTGCCTTTGCCCATCTGTCAGCACCATGGGCTCCATCGTGTGAGCACGTCGGCGGTTCACGCAAGTGGGTGGAAGGTCGTTGGTGCTCCAAAAGTCTTGCTTTGGCACATAACCTACTGGGACGGACATCTAACTGGGTGGAAGAAGCAGGATCGACCCAAACCCATTGGTGGGGTAACACGACTTGTGGACGGCTGTCAGTCAAACACGAAGCCCCTTTCCGCGTATTACCGGGGGTACTCGGGGAGATTGGATTTATACTTGTTCTCTCTACTACTGGTGAGTTGAGTGGAGTATGCTGCAAGCACAGGGGTGTGTATGAATTAGTGGCAACTGAGCTACATACGAATTACGTCAATGAAGCGGTTCTGAGGAAAGACTCAAAAGCAACAACAGCAACATGTTATGGAACTATATATATAATTCGGATACGTGTCTCCCTATTAAACTAATTACACACCCAACTGTCTCAAAAGCTGTCCACAAAAATAAGTCAACCCCTAGCCGCAAGCTAGGCATCGGAGATCTTAGAGATTCAAAACGAGCTGGGCATTCGATAAACCCTTGCAACCACACAAAGAATCCCTTTTAAATCCCCTATCCATGTTACTAAGTGTTGCAGTTCCAATTCATCAACGTTGCAAGTTGCGATTGGGACCATCCCTGCCACGAGGATGCTCCCCTCCGTGGCGGCCCGGTGCCCCAGGACGGTTGGCCTCGGTGGACCTTTCAGCGAGGTTGGCCTTGGTGGACCTCTTTGGAATTCCGGATTCTTTTTTGACTCTAGCATGTGGCTAGAATGTGTGGCCATTTTTAGAGGCCTTCTGGCATGCTAGAGAAACCCCTTTCATACTGAGTGGCTCCATGGTTTGTGGAACAGCAAAAGACAGAGATTTGTTCCATGGTTTGTGGGCATGAACAAATGGGTTTTTCCACTTCCATGTGACTTTCCAGGTTTCGTACGCCATCCGCCCCAGACTCCCCTGAGTTCACTCTCGTACGACGAATCGAGTCGATGTCTGAGGTGGGTACCTGGTCCTGGGGCAACGAGTCCTTTGGCCTCGGGACCCAGAGGGACCCAGAGGACCCCGAGGGACCCGGAGCAAGCGCTTTGATTGGGAAAGCCCAGTCACATACTGTAAGCAAAACAGAGCCACTGGCTAGACGTAAATGGGTGGTGATATTAGGCGAAGAAATCGAGGCATTTTCTGTCACTGATTCTGTCACTAAGTTTGGTGCATATATGAAGCTGCTTCGGTACCAAACTCCTCTGACACCCAGATGCATTCAAGAAGGTTCTGAAGAGTCTTGGGGTGCGAATGGATTGCAAAACGACCGTGGTGGGGCGTGATTGGGTAACCCCGTGCAACTCCTCGTAGATCCTCGTACCATGAAGTCTTGCACTGTGAGGCTTTTAAGAGTGGCTCCTTCGCATGCCAGAAGGCCTCTAGAATGGCCTAGACAGGTGAAGTTGGGGGCCGAAACGGCGATCTGCCTCCCCGTCCGCAAGGGTGGAAGCACAAATCCTCGGTCGGAGGTCGGATCCTTGAGGGTGCCACCAAGAAGATAGATAAGAGATGATAAGAGCGAGCTGCTGGGGCGGAGGTGGAAGCACCTCATTTCGATGCGAAGCACCTCAACTTCACACCCTAGGTGTTGTCCTTGGTGTGTACCGGTCTTTACCGACCCTTCGAGGCCATGGGCTCCGGCCCGGCAGCCGCGGGGCGAAGGAGGCGGCGCGAGCGACCTTCGACGCGGCGATCCGCCCGGGACCTGGCGTTTCACGGCGCAGGGGTGGGGAAGGCGCGTCAGTTCAACGGTCTCTTTCTTTTGTTTGTGTGCTCCGGTCGTCCTCATGCAGCGATTTTCTTCTCATCCAGCCGTCGTCCTTGGTCGCGGTTGTTTGGTTGGTGGGACGATGAAAACAGGTGTGCGCAAGGGCAGAAAAAGGCGAGTTTTCTCGGCCGTGCCGGTGGAAGGCCTAGATTCTAGATGTCATTCCTAAGGGGGACCTGAGTTTGGGAGCTTCCCTCGATGATCTCGGCGACCACCAGTGGTCCCACCCGGTGGGGCGCCTGAGGCCATGGCAGCTACTTCTTCGACACCGCGCCGACCTACGGCCGCGGCTTCGCAGAGGAGAGCCACTTGGCTTTTTGGAGCGCGCCTTGGGCTGGTGCGGCGTGATTCATGGCCATTCTTGGGCTAGTAAGGTGAATCTTTTTCGGGACACATGTGGGTCAAAACCCGGGCACCCTTTTTCAGGTGCCAGAACTAATTGAAGGTGAAATTGACCAAAGCAGCCATATATGGCAGTAGTTTCAAGGGCATGCCAACGCGTTTTGCACAGAACGAAGGAGAGGACCGGACCGTGCCGTTTAATGGCTTGGTTCTTCTTGAAACTCAGACCGTCTCGGCCTTCTGGGGCGCAGATGAACCGAAATTAGCAGAATACCCTTGGAACCATTTGGAAGATTTTGGAAGGATGTTCTGAGATTCTTTCGATGTTCTTCATTTTTGGTGATGAATCCTGCCTTGCTACTTTGAGCGATTTCTTCATACCTCTGCAAGGACCTCAGGGTCGGACCTAAGGCCTAGGGCACCTTTGCCATCATGGACCGTACGCGGTGGTTGCTACGCCTGGGGTCCCCAGGCGGGTCCGTTGGCCAGGCATCCCTTTTAGATGATTTCAAATGATTTTTTGAGGCACCAAGGATTCGGCTTTGGTTTCATGAACGCCCTTTTTGATTCCCTGAGGTTCATGAGTAGATCGTGGTAGATAACGGCAAACATGCTCAACAGGTAGCAGACTGGAGGGGGTTTCCCAAGAGGACCTGGGGTCTGGACCCCTCGATGTAGTCCGACTCCTACCTTCCAACAAGAGCACTGGATACCCTAAGGCACCGCGTGGACCCACAAGCGGGTAAAAAAATTAAAGGGTTTTCCCCGTGGCAGGGCCTGGTTTAGCAGGAATAGGCCCCCCCCGGTCACTGTTGGCCAACAAACAAGCTTTTCACCTGCTTGTCAGTGATCTAGGATGACTGGGGTTTAAACAAGAAACAACAGGGCTTTTTCAGGCTTATCGAGCGATTTTGGCTTTTCACTCATCACTTCTTTTCAATTACTGTATATAACCTGCGGCAGTTGACCCAGCGAGATGACACGGACACCGAGTTCACAGCTGTGTACTCTGAACTCACTGCAATAGGCCAGTCATTGAGTAATCCTTTTCCCTGTTTGCGTTTTGCTATTGAATCATCCTGCATGTGTTCCGTACATTTGTGGGCCAACAGGATTTGTCACAGATAATTTTCTAATGTTCTTGGTGTCTTCCACATTCTGATTCAATGCAATGTGCTTTGCACTACTTGCGTTCACTGACTGCTAAAGCATCGCCCGGATGGTTTTTGTTGAGATACTGCAAGTGGAACTGTCTAGACTTGTCGAGGCAAGGGATTCCGCCCCCATTGGGATTGAGACAATGCTTTCGGTTCGTCCGCAGTCGACTCGAAGGGCCTCGATTCCCACATGGTGATATAGAATAGCATTTGCAAAACAAGTACCTGGATGGAGGAATGATTTTTTCTCACGTGAGAATCCATGACTCAATCCAGGTACAGCCTTTGCAAAACGCTTTGCCGAGTTCGAGGCGTTGACGGATTCATGATACGATGATGCCGCGGGTCTTGCGAGGATCTCGCTGCATGCTGAGGAAGCACTTCCCACGACCACAGCAGGACTTGACGGCAGCCCTCCTGTCCACTGCGCGAGAGGCGCGCTGCTCGGGGTGATTGCGAGACTTGGAAGTGGAGGGGGAGAGCTTGGAGGGCTTGGGAGGAATCTGATTGGGAGATCGGAAGAGTCTCCTGTTCAAGAATGCGGAGATTCCACCTCCAACGAAACCACTTTGTCTTGTCTTTAAGTCACTTTTTTGCAGCACATTGACCTCAAGCTCGATTTTCGATCTCCCCCAGTGCTCCCTTTTCTGCGGTTGCCATGGCGGAAAAGACCAACACGGCTTCCACTTCGGTCCACCAGCCGACGACCTTGGAGTTCTTGGGCTTGGCCGGGAATTTTGGACACCTGAACTTGAAGGACTTGAAACGAATCCTTCACAGATATATAGTATACAATCGATTGCATTTGAATACATAGAGAGATAGAGATCTTGAGAGTGAGTGAGTGAGTGAGTGGGTGAGTGAGGGAGGGAGGGAGGGAGGGAGGGGGAGGGAGGGAGGGAGGGAGTGAGGGAGTGAGCGTGTGAGTGGAAAGAATCCTCAAACAAGGTTCGTTTGGTTCACTTTTTGGTTCCAATTTCATATCACTTTCACTGTCACTCATTCTTTTTGTTCTGAACGCCCAACCTTTTGGAACCGATGTTTGGTTCCACTCCTTTTTTTCTGCAGGACCCCTTCGATGTGAAGAAGCGTGGCTCCAGCTACTTCACGGAGTTCCGCGCGGGGCTGACCACGTTCCTGGCGATGGCCTACATCCTTCCAGTGAACAGTGGAATGCTCAGCTTAGTGATCCCTGGCATGCGCGAGCAGCTGGTCTGTGCCACCGCCCTGGCGGCCTTTTGTGGATGTTGGTTGATGGGGATCTTGTCCAACTATCCCTTCATGTTGGCACCTGGCATGGGCACCAACGCCTTTTTCACCTTCACCATTTGTTTGGGCAGGCGCGAGTGCGAGGGGTCTGGGGATGCAACATGAGGAGAGTGGCGGTGAGTCATCCTTGTTGAAGCTAAATACTGTACAAGTTGGATCATTCGCGTAGATTTTGGCAGATTCATGCGCCTTTGATTCAGATCCTTCAAGTATCTTCAAGTAATTTCATGCAAGCTTTCCATCCAAGTGTGCCACCTGTTCAGACCCGTTTGACTGAACCAATTTGCCATTGGTGACCAACCAGGGGCTTGCCATACCAAGCGGCCTTTGCGGCGGTCTTCGTGGCTGGGTGGATTTTCATGCTCCTGAGCATTACGGGACTGCGCACCTTGATGATCCGACTCTTTCCCGAAGGCATCAAGGCGCAAGCGCGCGCGGGCGTCTCCGACGGGGCGTCTCCGACGGAACACGGCCGTCAACGCCTGGCTGGCGCTCCGATTGGTGCGTGCGGCGCGAGGTTTGGGGCGTTTTCCGAAGCATTTCTTTAGGCGTTTTGAGAGAGAGAGAGCTCGGTTTAGGTCCTTTTCCGGCGAAACATGGATGGTTTGAGACCCGGAGAGAGCGGTGCAGATTGAAGTGTGGAATCGCATCCCATGAGACATGTCCAAATCGATCGATCTGCCACGGCTTGAAAGCGCATAGTTTTTGGTGAGAGGTGTTTCCTTTTTTTGTGCCTATATTTGATACCCTTTTAAATCAATCTTTTTTGGACCCTCACAACGGGAACGCAAGATTATGTTAATTCCTCACATTCAGCGGGCAGCTGTTTTCTTGGGTTCCCCCTCCAGTCTGCTAACTCTTGAGCATGTTTATGCCGCTATTTGTTTGCAATGATCTACTTACACTCCCTGAAATCATCATGGAAGTGGATGGCATGGCCCGAAAGGAAGACCCTTTTCTAAAAACAAGTGGTGTCCATTTCGTCTTGAACGACGCGGGACTCGGTTTCCAGAGAGAGAGAGAGAGAGACAGAGGGAGGGACGGAGGGAGGGGGACTGAGGGAGGGAGAGAGAGAGAGGGAGAGAGAGAGAGAGAGCGCACGCACGAAAAAATCCCGTGGCACGAACGTTTTTTTTGCAGTGCAGGAGAGCATCGGCGCGGGCGTGGGACTCTACTTGACTTTCATTGCCTTTCAGTCGTCTGAAGGTGCTGGAACGGTGCTGGAAGTTTGTGAACCCCCACAGGACATGTTAGAAAATAGGCTGAAGGGCCGACTTCGGCAGATCTCAAGTTACTTTGTTAGAAACCGGTTGAGCCAGGGCCTATACTGCAAAGAAATAGGAACATTTTCAATGCTTCAGATCATGGCGAGTTTCGGTTTCTTTAGATAGAAATCGATACTGGAGGGTAGCAACATCCAGGGCCCGACTCCCAACAGCCCTGCCAGGGTAGAATCTGGATCCTGCAAATGGGGAACTTTGGACAGATGAGTGAAGTAATCCGTGAAACCTGTGAAGCCTGTCGCAAGTTTGTCCTGAACTCTGAGAACATGGCAATGTCTCGACCCCGGTTGTAAAGCCAGTTTGCCTCAAGTCACTGGCTCAAGACTCGGACAGAGCACACGACAGAAACCGAAACCTCCAGCGACCGGCGAGTTCCGCTCCAACGCCGCCAGGCATGGGCTTGTCCGTTAAGGACCCAGCAACTCTGGTGACACTCAACAGCCTGAGCCCCGACAGCTACGATGCGGCCAAGCTGTGGCTGAGCCTGGCCGTGTTGTGCCTCACAGCGACACTGTTTGCAGCCAAGGTCTGGTGTTTTCGTGGGGGATTCGGGGGAGAAGGGATCAAGGAGAGCTGCAATACACCACAAAAAGCAGTTGGTTTGAATTTGCAAGGGTCGTAGTTCTTTTTTCGGCGACGAAAGTCGAGATGTTGGCCTGGTTGTTGCTTCGGGCACCTTCTCATTTCACGGCCCTTCCTCCCTTCGAGGTGCCGGGCGCTCCCTTGATTGGGATCATCTTTGGCACCATGGTCTGCTGGATCGAAGGATTTGCCAGGGGTGAGGAGCAGTCCGTCTTCGGGTATCCCTTTGGCACGAAGGGCCACCGTGATGCGAGCTTCCACATCTACCTGCCCACCAGCCGCCTGGAATCAATGTGACAAACTGGTTGAGGTCCGAGGTGAGAGTAGGTGTGATTGAGTATGCCAAGGATGGTAGGCATGGATCATGGATGGGTAGGTACACCATGACCCTGAGCTTGTGATCGTCTTCCTGCCAGGCCTGGTCGCCCAGCCGTCTCTAAGCGGTCTCTCAGGCTCGTGACCCAGTGAAGCTGACCCGCTGAAGTGGAGTCTCAAGGTTTTGGCAGTCCGAGTGAGCAAGATCTATGATGCAAGTCCAGTGTGGGTCTGTAGACTTCGCAACGTGAAGAAAACAACAACGTCGCCAAGAGTTTGCGGCAGGAGCACTTTGGAGTGGCTTTGGGGCAGCCACGGATCCTGCCATGGCGTCCACCTTCTGGACGGCGGTGGCCACTGAGCACGGGTTTGAAAGGCTCAATCATCCCATCCGATGGTTTTGGTGGACAGCTGGAAGCAGGGCAAATACATAGTGTAACTGTGTCAAAAACACCGCAGTTGATATTGCTGTGTGATTTGCAGTTTTGCAATATCATGCAGGATTTTTTTCCAACGCACAAATCTAGAGTGGTGACACCCCAGGTGGGATGCAAACGAAGGAGTGCAAAAGGACAATTGTATGAAATTGTAAAGACACGAAACCTGATCCTTTCTACCATAGATTCTGATCACATGATTTCCGAAGAAGACGGATCCTTCACAAATCTTCAAACAGTGGACTTTCTTTTGCCTCCAGACCATGATCCGACCAACATGCCGTGCTTAAAATCACGATCCATGGTGCCACATTACATACATACATTACATTACATATTATATATATATAGATAGATCTTCCAGTCACGATCTATTGCGCCGCTCTGTTCGTTCGATCGACGCGTTTGCAAGCCTGTTCGAAGCCAATGGACTCCACGTGTTCGAAGCCGACGGCCAAGGCCACCTTCTGCTACACCGACCTCTTGGACTCCTCCGGCACCTTCTTCGCGGTGGCCAAGGTCGCGGGCTTGACCGACGCGCGGGGCAACCTGCCGCTGGCGCGGCAGAACATGGCCTACCTGGCCGATGCGATTGCGGCGCTCATCGGATCCATGCTAGGTGGGGGGGGAATCGGTGGAGAGCTACAGTAGATGTTACAGTCACTTTGAGGTGATTAGCCGAGGATTGATGGGCTGTAAGTGTCAGGTGGACATGCCGCGATGTGGCAACAAAAGCGTTCAAAGATCTTTTTCTACCAGCTGTACCCGGTACCACCTGCAGTTGCCGCCGCAGAAGATGTGATTGATGCTTTAGTCGAACAAACGACACACAACTGCTATTAACTTGTGGAAAAAAACTCCTCAGCAGCACAAAGAAAGAGACTCTTGCCACATCCACACTCAAGCAACGCCAAGGAATCCACCAAGACACATCGGTGTGTCGCTCAAATAGGGAGAACCTCCCAGTTCAACGACCTCTCCTGGTCCGAAGGGGCCAGTCTACCCAGTGAGAAAGGGTCTCCAGGTCTCCCACATCCATAAGATCCACATCACCTGCATGGGGTTCTCTCCCGGATGTTCTTCACGCCGTGGCCAGGCGTTTCCACCGTGGCCACCTTCGCGGAGTCCACGGCGGGCGTGGCGGACGGCGCGAAGACGGGGCTGGCGCCCCTGGTCACCGGCGCCGCCCCTTGGGTCACCGTGGAGAGACCGGTGATGGGAGACGGGATATGGAGGGAGATGGGTCAAAGGTGGTGAAGCTTGGCCTGCACGAGGCTGGTGGTTCCTCTCTTTTTTTGACTTTACTCTACCCTTTGGTTCTGCTTCTGCTAGAGGTGGTCAAGCGGAGCCTCTGGGCAAATGGCGAGCATTCTCTGGGAAAGGTTGGACAAGTGAGACTTGGTGAGGGCTTCTTTCACGCACCATTTTCAGTCCCAGGACCATCATGTTGGTCTTGTGAGGGTCACCAAAGTCTTGGCAGCCGATAGTGACCGTACATGAAGCATGCCTGACGAGTCCAAGAATCGGTAGACAGAGCCAGACAGAGCTTTCGAAAATGCCAATATTTATAGAAAACTGCAAACTTGCAGAAGAGGTTGGCATTTGTTGTTTTTTGTTACTGGTTCTACTGTATCCCTTTCTCAGACCAACATAGAACTGAAAAACATGCTTTCATGTTCCACCAAAGCTTACTTGCATCTGAATGTATTCGTTTTCGACCCCCCATTTCCTTTTTGTGGTTCAAATCCCGGATCATGCCGTGTGATTTCCACGAACCACACCAGTCACTGGAGAGCCTTGTCAAGTGGGTCTGGGATCACGAGTTCGTGAATATGGCGCCCGTCCGGGGCGTTTCAGGTTTTCTGCTGGCGATCCCCATCGCGCCCGTGGTCTCCGCGGTGCCTCCCTTGGCCTCCGGGCCGATCTTGTGCCTGCTGGGTGCCTTGATGTGCAGCTCGGTGCGGGGCATCGATTGGGAGGACTACCAGGACGAACTGCGAGCTCTGCGAACTCCATGAGACGGTGAGTGTGAGAAGTGTGCGGAGAAGTAAGAACGAGCCAATGATAAGACGGTCCATATTGGTGGGTGTTGGTGGGAAACACCTGGCCTCAACGGTCTGGTGAGATATGACTTTGTACCCCCTGGTCGACTCCCACCAGAGAAACCTGACACCTGACAATCTTCAGTTTCCATTATGGCAAGTTTGGTCCTAGCTCCCACTGATGAGGATTTACTTATCTTCAAAAAGGATTGCGCCCTGCCTTGCATGAGAAAGGTGCCGAACTCCCTACCCCACTGAAGGGGATACCTTGATCCTGGCCAAGAAATTCCGCAAAACAAACCCATGACAGGCTTATACTTGTAGTGGGGTCTATTCATTCATGTAATGTGCGCATTAATATTTGTTGATCAGCAGAACATGTTTTGGATGTCATGAAACCATCTATACAATTACATGAAACGTCGATCCTTCACGCCAAAGTGTCCAGAGACGTCTCGACTTTGGTTACTCTCCCGTGTGGACTTTTACTCCGCCTGCCATGACTTCCTCCGCGTAGGAGTCGATGCCGGCTTTCCTGTCCATGGTGACCATGCCCTACACCTTCAGCATTGGCTACGGAATCATTGCAGGCGCACAGGGCCCGAACTCGTTCGGTTCGAAGACCGTGGAACACGGCAGCAGTCGTGCATCAGCGAATGGGACCAAGCATTGTGGGGTCCACTCTTGGAACTAATCTGGAGCTGTCAGGGAAACCGAAGAGGCCAACATGCAAAACCATGCAACCATCAATTGCTGGGTGTTGCAGGACACCTTCATCGGGCCAAAGTTTCTGATCCTCCAAGGAGTTCCTATGGGACAACACAACCACAGAACAACACCAGCATGTTCACCTCATCGACGGTGGGCGTCGTCCGGCAGGTCTGGTCCTTTGGGTGGTGATCCAGTTGCTGCTGATCCCAATGCGCCTGGGAAAGAAGGAGGATCCCTTTGTGCGCTTCAAGGCCCTGTGGGCCGGGGTCTTTGTCGAGGCGGAGGAGGAGTTTAGCCCTTCTGACACTTGGATCGCTGGGCACAACGGGTCGGGAAAAGACGAAGGGTCACATGGTCCAGGCGTGGGGGGTTGCTTGGGGAAGAGAATGGAAGCGACCAAGCAAGAAGAACTTGACCAACGAGGGTAGCCGCAGCAGACGGCGTGTTGTAAATAGTCATTGTTTCTAAATGTTTTAGCTTGGAACAGCTTGGATGGGACTTTTCTCTGACAGGACATCCTCCTTGTCTCGAAAGGTGCCACTTGACCAAATGACCGACTGTCCTCCGCCATCCGCACCAGACTGTCCGCAGACTGTCCTCGGTTTCCCAGTCATCCGAGGAGAAGGAGAATCTGAGTGATTTGGATACGGATGTTGGCAGCTCGGGCTCTGCCGAGCCATGAAGTCTGCAGTGAACTTGACTAGACCGTCCGTATCAAGCAAAAAAAGCTTGAGATTGGAGGAGGTCAACATGGTTGGCCTATGCATGAAGGTTCACATCAACGAGATTGGTTTTTTCACGCCGTGAAACCAGTATAGACGCGTTAGAGTGGCCACTCTTTGCGAAGAGAACATCGCCCTTCGCATGCCGGCTTGCAGCAATCAGCCTGCGAGCGCTTATACAGTGGTGGGTGTTGCCGCAGTTGTACAGTCGATGCGTTGCTGCCTGGTAGCTCTTCTAGGGAAAGGCTGCCCAGTGCGAATGTCCTCGCAGTGTGAAAGTTGCGAAGGCTCCTCAATGTGGATATTCCACAATGGATATTCCATCAGTCCCTCCTGAATCGTGTGTCACGAGAGGGCTGTAGCCTCTGGAATCTGGTTCAGTCATCTTGAAATCCAGGCGATTGACATACACAGCCATTTGGCTGATGCTTTGGGGGATCCTCAGTTTGTTCATCTGCACCACGGCTCGACAGGCCCAAAGCCGCCTGAATGGGTGAAGCCCCAAGAGGGTTTGGGCAGGGACAGGGAGCGATCGGCAGGGGCAGATGCGTAGGTTTTTCTTTTTTGGAGCTTGGAAGTGTGGTTCAATGATGCACCCAGGAGTTTCAGTTGACCAAGTCGATGTGTGAACAGAACAACATCATTGAATCATAGAGCACAAAAGTAAGGAAGACCTGGATTACTTGCGTCACATACCCCTTTTCCACGGCATATGACTGCCTGTATACACATCTCAGTTACACTTTGACTCACTAAGATGGAAGTGGAAACAACCCGGTCCGTAGAAGAAAATTGTATTCCAAGGGACCATGCCACGGATCAACACACGGAGAACCCACGGATCAACACACGGAGGATCCAGGGAGATCCACGGATCTGGGGGTCCCGACCACTGTGTGGATGCGAGGGTCCTCTCGAGGACCAGACCCAGTGTTCTCTCAAAGCATCTCGGAGAAACCGGAGGCTTTTGGAGCAAGCAACGATTCAGATGTACATTTGGGCACCTGGGAGATGAAACACCCTTGATCTCTAAGGTGTAGGCCGTAGGAGCTCCCAGGTGGTGCCTTTCTTCCTCCCACCATGCAGATTGTGCCACCATCTCGGCACCTCAACTGAGCTTGTACGACGCATGAGATCGTCGTGGCGGTGCGCCTAGGCCGATCGATCTCCTACAGTTGTCGGGACACCGGGCCGTCGGGTTTCGGACTTGCACGATGGGCTCGGCTCGGCTCTCCGGGTGACTGGTGAGAAGGCTGAGCTCCTGAAGACCATGGTAGGAGGGTTTGGTAGGATGTCCATGGCAAAGTGAAGAAAGGACGAAGGGCGATTTTTGGCACTCGAGGATGCCCGAGGCGTTGGAAGCGAGCTCTACTACTCAGTCTATGGGTTTTGTTGGGCTTAAGTCTCCAGGAGAGTATGGCAAACTGAGCTCCCATGTTTTTCTTGTTCGGACTGAGTGCCATAAGTTGCCGCCCTGTCCTTAGTCAAAGAAAGGAAGTTCCTGCACGCTGCTGCACTTCATTCAATCATTCGAGTCTTTCTGGACGAGGTGGTTATGACTGTATACATCCAAGAAGCACCCAGACATCCTCCAAGAACCACCCAGACAAGTAACCGCTGTTAAGGTGACTGAAACAACACCGACTAGTGGGGCATCTCCCCATTGTGCTCTACATCCTCCCACCAAAAAGAACGGGATTCAGTTTCTATGTGGATTGAATCCAACCATGGCCCTGTGCCTAGGGCCTAGGGCATCGCTACTAGGAGCAAGGACGCTACTAGGGGCTCCTGGCCTTACTACTAGGAGCAAGAAGCTAGTAGAAACAATGGGGCACACCTTCCCCAGATCCACCGGGAGGAGGGACCGGTGAGGCACCGGCCGGCTGAGCCGCCCGTCTCCTTGGAGGCGACCGCTTCGCTTCGTGTGTTGGTCGAAGGGAGTTTGTTCGGTGTTGGGCGAAAGGACGAGTGCTGGACTCAGGAGATGGAAAAGTGCTGGACTCAGGAGATGGAAAAGGATTCTTGTCTTACTGCAGTTCTTCTTTCTTCTTCGATGGTTCTTTTTGATGGTCATGGATGGTCAATGAAGGAACATCCCGAAGAACATGTTCTTTGGTGCCGAAGTATTGAGACTATGACCGAAGGACTCAAGAACCAGGGACCTGAATGCCGTGGCTGTGGTTTGGGGGAGATGTTGATTGAGGTGACCTTGCCGGATGTAGCTTAAACATCCTTGGCTACTGAGCATTGATTGCATGAAGCTCTATGGATCCTCAAAAGTCGATTTGATCAGAGCCAGAGTTCATCCAGCTGTAAAAAATGCAATATCCTCTTACACCTCTCATTTGTCTCACTGTATTTGCAATACTTTTTGAACTTACCTTGGCCACACATGTGCTAATGATGGGATGCCTGTTTAGCTCTGCATTGTCGTGTTTGCCTCGTCACATTTGTCGAGGTTCCGGAAAGGCCCGTGTAACCACAACCAAATAGTTCCACACCATGTTGGCCCTACTTTTTCCAAGAGTTCCTTATGTATCGCTACTTTTTCCAACTATGTCACACACATGTTGGGCCTTCCTTATGTTGGCCCCCTTATAGTAAGACACACCACGTTGATCTCTTATGTTCTTCTTTCTCTTTAAACAACACTTTTCGCCGTCTTTTCAAGGCCCAAGCAGATGCTCTCGCAGCTGCCGCCCTGGCGCCCAGTAGAGACAGGTGGTTTTGTACCATTCAGGTGTGGGGGGAACTCATGGAGCTCATCGGAGTGATACAAGAATATGTATAGTGATCCCCAAATAGATAGAAACGGTTTCCAAAATGGGGATCTTACGGTACTTTTCTATCTATTTGGGGGTCTATACTGTACATCAAAACATAACTTTTCCAACTCATAGAGTCTAAAGGATCTTCGCTTCCAGAAGAACACCAAGATTCCAAGATCCGACCCTGCACATCGGTTTTCGAAAAGGTTCCCTGATCTACCTGTCTTGGAGAGGACCTGGGACGTTCTGGGGCTCGCGGGACCGGCGAGGTCAAAGCCGGCGTTGCCAAAGCAGTAGGTGTCGGGCACCCCGGGAGCGCGCCCTGGTCTCTACGTCGCTTTTCTCCGATTTCGGAGGGGAAAAGATGGGGACATGTGAAGGTGCATGTGTGGTCGGACATTGAGGGATGGTCAGCTATGGTCCATCTCATGCGGACCCTTGCAATTCGGGGGAGGATGACCATCCCCCACATCAAGATCATAAGTTTGGATGATGGGTTTGTGCCTGCCCAGGTGAGAGGTCTCCTTCAACTTGAATTGTGTTGGATCAGTTGGGATTTGGGATTTCCATTACCCAGAGCTGGCATGATGATGAATGCATGTCCCCGGAAAAGCTGGATCACAGGAAGGATTTCTTTTTGGAAAGCTCATTACATGGGGAGTTCCATGGTCTTGACACACCCTTTTTGAAATGGTCGATGCACCTTGATGCAGTGAGATTTGGTTTGTTCAGGACGGGGTCCCCAAGGGGTCCCCAAAAGGTCCTGGACCACAGGAGTGAACGAGGACATTCCTGGACCAAGTAGCACCACCACTCTGCAAACATCCTGCACCAGGGATGCAGAGGCTGAAGAGCCCGGTTCCTTTGCTGTTTGCTATTCGACTAAAGCCTATAGTCAATAAGGCTTCTTTAGTGCAGGAAAACGATGTCCACAATTCCACAAATACCAAAAGTCTGCCAGTCGCCGCAACGTACGCAGCGCGATGTTCTCGCTGGGAGAGGTCTGCAACTTTTCCCTCGCCGAGCTCAAGGTGGTGCACGAGCGCCTGCGCCGCCAAACGGGCTGCGGCTTGAGCAGCTGCCAGGCGCCAAACGGGCACCGGCGGGGGACGGTTTGGGGGGCTCTGGAACCGAGCTGAGTGTCTCGAAGCGCTTTCGCGGTCGCAGCAGGTTGTTTGGCAGGTCGTTTGGGTCGCAACATGTGATCAGTTGTTGCTCGCCATGCCAAACACGTAGACCAGGCTGGACGTTGGCTTTTAATCTCGACCAGTGGAGTGATTCTGCGGGGCGCTTTGGAGCGCTTTTCGCACCTCGCCCCAGGTGGAGCTGTCTTTGGCTCGTCAGCTGCCGGTGGCCAGTGGACTCGTGGCGCACCCAGCACAACTCGACGTGTTCCGTGTCGCACGAGGGCTCTTCAGCCCTCCTCGCACAAGAGCGTCCCACATCACAGGTCCCCCACATAGATGTTTTATGCTGGATTCCATGGCCCGTGATAGGCCATCATGGTCCCCATGGTCCCCCACATCCATAGGCCATGGATGTTTCATTTTGTTCAAAGATGGATTCTATGGCCTTTTTGGAGCCAGACTCGCATCCCCTCGGGGTGAAGGTCCCCAAATTTCAAAACTTCGGTCTCAAAAGTCAACGCAGCCAGTGACGGAGAAAACCCGACTGAAGTCCAGGAGCCGACCATATGTTGACCGACTCAAGTAGTCTGGACGCTCCCGAAATCAGGTTTGCTAGTCAGACAATTCCTTTGATAGTCTTCGACTCGCAAAAAAAGCACAGTTTTGACACAGCCATCTCGAACCGTGACGATCCCCCAAAAAAAAACCGAGGCTACACATCCCTATTCTAATGATGGAGATTTCAAGTCAGCCAAATGAATCTGATCAGATGCAAACTCGCTTTTCCCGGAAAAGCCCACTTAGATGAGACCCTTTTGGAGGCAGGTTGTCAGGAAAAAGGGGGGTGAAAGCAGTCAACCTTCTCGTTGTCCGAATCACTTGGAATCAAGTACACTAGGACCCACCCCTTGTGGTTAATGGACACCCCTTAACCTCTAAGGGTCTATTGTCTCCTGGCAGGGGCTGTTCTTTGGCATTCGCCCTTCGCTGTGGCGTTTCGTCCGCGGCATGCCACATCACCCAGGTGGCGAAAGACCAGTCAACGATGATATGATGAAAGCGGGCTTTTTCAGATCCTCCATGTGTCTTCCAGGCGCATGGAGGCATGGTATTGGTGTTGTCTGAGGAGAAGAAGAGATGGAACACTGTTTGGTTACATTGAAGTATTTCCAGCAAGTCTTCCAGGAATCCAGCTGCCAGGACGACATGCTTGACAGAGCTCTTCAAAATGAACCATTTACAAGACTTCTGTGAAGGATGCCGTGCTCGCGGCGGCGTTCGCAAAGGCTTGCTAGAAGCAATCGAGAGGAATTGCATTCGCGGCGATGAACTGCCTCACTTGCTTTTGGCAAAGCGGTGCAGGCCTTGCTGCTATTACCATACACACTCAACCGAGATTTGCAGAACAGCCCCTGGCCCTGCAGGCACTATTTGTATCAACGTGTGGACCTCAAGCTGAAGTTGGATGAAGCTGTGATCAATTCATTGCGATCGCTTGAACAGACGCTGATCAATCTGATGTCGGCGCTGCATTCGACCAGACATTTCAGCTGTTCGACCAGAAATGTGCAAGGCAGTTCGTGTGTTCGTGTGTCTTTCCTTATGTTCACACGGCCGCTGCCGACATGGATCCCGATGCGTTGGAAACGACGTCGGCGATTGGACGTTTCAGGTGAATGGCTGCCGTGAGCTGGGCATCACTGTGAGGAGCCTCAGATCCGAATCGGCGAAGGGCATCGCTACGAACGGAACGATCGGGCGCTAGGAACGGGGCTCCTGGCATCGCTAGTAGGAACAAAATGCTACTAGGAGCAAAGGGCATCGCTACTAGGAACCCGGGGCCTCGCTACTAGAACAAGAAGCTCTTGAGAACGGAGGGTGCAACATTCGGTGCACACCAAGCAGACTGACTTGGTGTGGATAGGCCTTTCAAGCAGCCATGGGTCTTGACACCTAGTTGGTTCTCAAGTTTGGGTTTGTGGGTCCGTGGCGATGTGGCCCACATCCAGGTTTGGAGGGTGAGACTTGGTGACACCTCCAAACCTTTGAGCATCCCCGCGCGTGAAAGACTGGACTTGCAAACCATGCTCGGACTGTTGGGGATGCAACCCCCCCCCGTAAAAGCGCCAGAAACCACGTGGTGGGTTTTGGGAAGAGCCACGTCACAGGGACATCCTGCAAGAACTGGCTCGAAGGTTTGCCTCTCACGAGGCAACAAAGTTGAAGTGACGACCTATGCTAGGGCTGGGTGGACAGCTAGCGACAGCTAAGTTTTCTTCCGGTTCCTTTCAAGCTTGCATAATAGATTGGATGTTGTTTGTGTATGATGGTGTGAAAGCTTACAATGTTTCTATTTTATTGCTAATTCTGACCATTTGATTGTTCGAGAAATTTGCTTTCTGCTAGTCTTTCGCTGTGGGAAGAAGAACTGGAGAACCTGCAAACATGTTTGCGGCGGGAACCACTTACTTGAACAGTGGTTGAAAGGCTCTGTGCAAGCGGCTTTAGTTGTAGTTACAGTACAGCAACTGGTGGAGCACCACCATCTCAGTTGGTCAAAGCCTCCATGCAATGGTCACAGAGACCAGTTTCTCCAGACGTGTCACAAAAGAGCACGTCTGTATGGTACACTTGAAGTGCTCTTTCTGTGGAAACCACCTGCGGTTCCGACCTCTTCCAAGTGATTTCTGGAGCCAACCGGGCACTGGAAGAGAGGACGGTGTGTGGGGGTGATGTGGGGTGATGTACCGAGGTCTTGGCCTTCTCGCCCTTAGCCATGGGCCGCCTCAGCGGGCACTACGCCTGGGAGCCCACCCGGGACGGGCGAACGAGGGACTCGCCCCATGGAAGGACGGGCGATCCCTTGAAATGGGCACCGATTCGACCCAAAATGGGGCGAGAAGATGCGATGGAATTCGAACGGATTCGATGTGCCTAGTAGTGTCCTTGCTCCTAGTAGTAAGAATGCTCCCAGTAGCGATGCCAGGAGCCCCTAGTAGCGATGCCCTTGCTCCTAGTAGCGTCCTTGCTCCTAGTTCCTTCGTTTCTTTTGCTTGTCGCGGTCGGACCGGGACGTGTGAACGACGCTCCTTTGACCATGGCCGGGACGTGCTCGGCTCGTTGGTGGCCATTCTGGTTGTTGCCGGTCCAGTGCAGTCGTGGTTGTACTTTGTGGTTGTTCGAGTCCAAACTATACCACTGAATGATGGGAAATGTATGCGCCAAAAGCGAATCTTGTGGTGGGAATGCTCGCAAATCATCCCAACTTAACTGGAATCTCTTGTTTTTCATGGCCGACCGAGTGGACTCCCCCACAGCCAGTTTCGGTTTTGCTTCGTAGCCTTTCGTGTGATTCTTGGGGGGCATCGCTACTAGGTTGGAGGTTGACCTTGCCTTGGAGGCCGCTCCAGCTCCCCAGCTGCTGGCGTCCCTAGGACCCTTGGGGCCACGCGCCCACTTGGACAGACCGCGGCAAGAGCCGAGCACGACCCTTTGGTCGGACGCCCCAGGGCGTCGACCGGTCCCCTGTCGCAGGGGACTGCGAGTGAAGCATCTCGGGTAAAGCCCAGGAGCTTGGAGCCCATAGATGGCCATATGTGGCCTTGGAGACTGTTGGTTGATGAAATAGTAGAGGGGATGATTACCACCAATAAGTGTGCCAATAGGTAATGAGATGGTACCAAATCGACTCCTCTATGATTCCTAACAGATACGGGACATATCATACTTTGGTAGATGCCACCCTTTTCCAGGCATATCCCGGAGTTGACGCTTGATGTCACAGATGGTGATCATGCAACTCGCGTTGTGACAACTTAGTGGATATATATATATAATAGGTATATAAATACAGTATATATATGCTTGACATTGCTTGACGAGATCTACAACATTTGGGATCCTCCAAAAGAAATCCCCAACAAACTGCAATGAAGCCACAGGCTTTCCACTTTCATCATCCACAAACCACAGTGTGGTTTTAGAAACTCTACAAGACATTTGTTTGTTGGTGAAGTTCAGTTTCTATATGATCAAGGCCTCTCTGCAACCTCCTTCGATTGGCGGGGGGCCTCAGCGGCTTTCGGCGCCGAACCGGCGGCCAGGGTCCACCCTGGACGCCGACCCGGACGCATGGCATCAGCTGCTGAGGATGCTGCGGCAGGCGGTGTGGTAGGATGGAAGTTGGAGTTGTTCCTTGACAGGAGGTTGTTGTGAGTTCTAGACCCTAGAAGGTTTGGTGAAGTGAGAATGGTTCTTTCGATGCGCTTGATCGTTTTTCTCTCCTGTTCATTCCCGTGGTGGAGACGCTTGACCCAAGGATTCAAGGATAATGCCTTGCAAAGACCTCAAATCATCGTCACGCGTCATAAGCTGTTTCCGGATCTTCTTCCTTGGAGCATGGTGCAGATGATCAAGTGTCAGAGCAGGCACAGGTCATACAGGTCTCTTTGCGGCGATTCTTTGCTTGCCAGTATTGTTTGTGATGTGGCGTTTACGCTTGTGCAGATGGCCCAGAAATATGGGAAGACCTGTGCACAGGCCACTGGCGGCCGATGGGTGTTTTGCAGAGATCAGGGTCTCACACGACTGGAAACAGCATGAACTGCTCCGTTGCTCGGTTGGGAGCAGACCTGTGCGAACCTTTCGGTTATTGTTTCGGTTGTGGGTGAGGGGCAGCTGAGACTCCAAACACGATTCAGATTGCTTCTGCTGAGGGACGGGCCTATAGCTTCTTGACAGATGCCATGAAGTGGCATCCTTGCTATCCTTGCTAGCTAGAGCTTTGAGGTGGTAATGCAGATTCTTGACCAGAAAAAGGAACCCTCCAAGGGGTGTCTAGTGATAGCCGTTTAGAGGTTAAGGAGTGTCCAAAAACCACCTGTTGGAAGGTCCTGGTACGTGTTTATATAAATATATATAGTATTATATATCTATAGTATCCAATCAATCGCGGCAGAGCGGAGGTTTTCCCAGCTAACAGTGAGCCTGTTGCTATTTTTAAGGGGATGCCTCTCAGCTTGGTCGAAATTTTGGACTTGCCGCTCAGCTTGTGGGCGTTTCATTCAAAGTGGTCCTTGGTTCACGGGTTCATCGTCCACATTTTGAGCTCCTTGAGCAACTACTCCTTCCAGGTGGCCATTAACTGGGTCCTATGCCAGGCAGCTGGAGAAAGGGATGGGAAATTGGGCGCCCCGCCGGGGATGGCCTGGTCGAAATCATTCACCTCCCTTACCTGGGCAGCTGTTAGCCATCCAGCCCTGAAGACTCCCCCAAAGGCAAAGAATGCACGGCAGGCAATACACCAAACACCGAAGACTTACTAGTACTCTGCTCTTGTTTTCGGTTGTTTTCCTTTACATCCTGCATTGTTGCGGGTCTTTCCTTGATGATTCATGGGTGTTTCCTCGTGGGTTCGCTAATTCATCTTGGGATCCCTTGATCGCCCAGTCGTCTGTTCCGGCACGGAGACGTGCTACATCATGGTACATCATGATACATCCGGATACATCAGGATGCACTGGGTGCCTGCCCAAAGCGTGTCAGAGATTTCAGGTCCAAGCACCGGATCGGTCCTGGAGTCTTTTTGGGCGTCTCGTGACCTTGGAGCGATCCACGGAAACGCGCGGCACATCAGGGTGCTGTAGCCATTTGTGGTGCCTGGGCCTCAGGTCATCGTATTTTGGTGGTGGAAGGTGCCTGGACTGATGCCCTCCATGTGCTGACGCCATCCAGAACAGTTTTTTTCTCCAATAACCTATACTATATTAGCTGACAGCATGTGGTCAGACTGGCAGCACAGACTCCCAGTTCCAGTTGACCCCACCGAACAGCCTGTTATTCCAGGCTTGGTTGGCATCATGTAGACGTTTGTTATCCCAGGTATCACCGAAGAAGTGGGGAGTTGTTCCGCATCTATAATGTGCACACATCTCTCTTCCTTTCCATGTCCTCACTCTGTGGATGAACCAACATCTTGCACCCCTTGAGATGCTTGACTTTAATAGAACAGGTTTAGTAAGAGGTTCCACCAAATTCCTTCATCTCTCGAGGCTCGCAGTGGGGAGCAGGCGGCCGAGAACGCCGGCGCCATGGGCGGCCTGGCCGAACGAAAGGACCCGTTTGTGCGAGGACCTGGAGGACTTGGTTGGGTGAGGTCACACCGGCCAGGTTACTCAGGTGAGTCTTGGGCGCTGGGCGCTGGGTCGGTCTGCTCGGCAGGATGAGCACCCGAACTGCTAGTCTGGCTTGTAGAACCGACCGTGAGCCCTAAGAACATCCAAACATCAAGACCACCGCAAACGCAAAGGGGCCCTGGACATTCGAAGTGACATGTCGCCACGCCCGACAGATGTAAACTGTAAGCCCCACACTCCCTGATTCAATCATGGTAGTGGAACCACCTGACTGTTTGTAGAGTGTAGAGGAAAATGATGATGCAAGGGGCGATTTTCCACTTGCATGACAATTTATCTTCAGGGTCAGAACACAAAAAGAGCTTGGCCCCGCCTCTGGTTCTCTTACGAACGGACGCGGTCTCCCGAGGCTGGCGTTTGAGCGCCGAGGAGCGGTGGCGACGGGGTGGGGTTGGGCGACCCTGGGTGATTGGATCTCGCTTGGGCTGGGAACCTGGCCTCCAACCTAAGAGCGATGGCCTCCACCACAATAGTCTATAGTAGAAGCAAAAACTAATAGCGATGGCCTCCAACCTGCTAGCAATGGCCTCCAACCTGAGAGCGATGGCCTCCAACCTAATAGCTTGGGCTGGGAACCTTGCGAAAAAGCCGGTTGTTCATGTGCCTGTTGGGGTTTGTGGGCTTTTCGACTGAAGATGCTTTGGTGTTGTTGTGTTAAGACATGTTTTCATAATATATGGTTTCTTGGGTGACCCCAAGCATGACTTGGCCCCTTGGGCTTCCCCAGCAGGTGCTTGTTCAGCATCTAGTAATCTAGGCGCCTCTCGCAGGATGCGTTGCTGCTGGGTGCCTTAGGTGTGTGGATCCCCAGTACAGCTGGGAGTGGGTCTCCTCCCAGACGTGACACGATGGACCAACAGGTGGGCGCGTGTTAAAGATAGGGTTATATACCCAAAGCCTCCCAGGAAGAGGACGGCAACACCCAGTGGTTGAGGGTTCTCCCTGTTGCAAATGCACACCCAGACATGGGTTCAAGTTGGACAGGATCGGATCGCATGGCTACGACCGAAACAGAATTCGCTCTGCCTTCTGAAGGCAAAACAGAATCGATGCTTGGCCCACCGGCTACGACCGAAACCGCTGCTTGGCCCCATCCAAGATGCCTACACGCTCATGTGGCGCAGTCAAGGCGGCACCAAACAGCGACTTTCTCACATTTGGCACCACTCCGCAAGTTCCGCGGCCAAGAGCTGGGTCTCTGGCGGAAGCCAGCGCAATGCGCTGCATGAACCTCGCATGAAGCCAAGTACTTTGGGTATCAGGATTGTGAATTGCTAACTTTCCACGGAGATTCAGTATCCATCGGGGTCCCCTGGTTTTGAGCCAGTGAGAGAGCCAGGGTCGGGTCCTGAGGTCAAGCTTCTTCCCAGAAGTTCAGACTTCAGCATTTTCCCGTTGCTGGGTGACCACTTGCCGAACCGCGCCGTTTGAGGCTCGTGGGGAAACCTCCGACTTTCAGCATGGCTGACGGCCCAAAAGAAAGGGCCGGCCCTCGGCGCCACGACGGGGACCGGTTCGGTCCGAGGGTCCCGCACGAGAATGTCTTCGGAAGAATCCAACGTGAAACAGGGTGTGTCATGATGCCAGAACCGCGCAGTTTTGGGGGTTGTGTTGTGGGGTTGTGTTGTTGCACCTCGTCAGCGGGGGGTCGGTCAACCACCCGTTGGGGTGGGAATCACATCGGCGATAGAAGGGCTGGCTACAAGCGCTGGGAGTGAAGAGATGTGAGCTTTCCTTGTTGGACGGAAGTGCAAGGCGAGACATGGGGAACCTACACTCGCGGAACCTACAAAATGTATCACCACCATGTTCTTTGAAGGGCATGGGGACACCACTCAAACATCGAAGAGGTGGAAGGGGCGGCACTGGCTCAAGCTGCGCGGGGCCTGCGCCGGGGCCTGCGCCTCTTTTTCAAGAGGGCGAAGCCAGAACAAAACCGATGCGACGTTACTTAGCATACTTTGGCATGACCTCAACGCTGAAGTTCGGGGGGCATAAAGTGTGTTTGATGTCGGAGACATACAGGAACGAGGCGGGAAGCCCACGACACGAACGAAGCATGCGATGTAGAGGGTCGTGGCCGTTGCAGCCTTTCGCCATGGTTGCGGCTGAAACTAAAAACACCACCCAACTCCGCTGTGATTCACTTTAAGGGAAAAGAGAACAGATCATTTCCTTGGTGGTTGTTTGGGTATGTTTGGGTCTTTGTTTAATTTGTATCCATACTGATGTGATGTGAACACCGATTTGTTCGAGGCCACAGGCCTTCGTTCGCCACTCATTGCGCCATGTTGCACCGAACAGCGAGCAGTGCCTTGACGATCACCAGGCAGGGAGGAGAGGAGTTGGTGGGAGGGTGATCAGGGCGGACAGGTGGATGAGGAGAGAATGAAGATTAGATCCGTTTTTCTCACCCGATATGGATCTTTCATGGATTTTTCATGTCGGATCAGCATTTGCATGGATATTCTTTTAAACGTTTTCTTCTGATTCCGCAGCCGGGTCGAGAGGTGGGCGGGCATTCTTCGGGTAGCGAAAACGGTCGGTGACGCGAAAACGGTGAGAGACTCGGTGTTTGGCGAATTGGCGACGTTGCCTTTTTACAACCAGAGACGGTTGCACCGGTTGAGTGAAGAAGCGATCTGTCTCGTTCCGGTCAAACAGACTCTACATGAAGGCAGCAGGCACAGAGCCGCCAGGGATGGCACCAACTTGGTGCTCCAGCTCCACATTTCAGCACATCGCAGGTCTCAGCTTGTGGGCATCCTTTTTGCATGGAAAATCCAGACTCAATGGGTCTCAATGGATCTCAATGGTCTCATTGAGGCGAAACAAAACACCAACTGGTCTGATGGTGTCTATTGATGTCTTAACGTTTCCAGGGATTTAACAAATTCAGGTGTTTAAATGGATAGGTTATATACCTTGTCGCGCTAGCAAAACACAGCCTTGGGCTAAGTTTGCACTAGGGCTGGCGCTAGTCGCTTCTTTAATGCGCTGATGTGGATCGTGTGCCTACAGGGGAGCATGAGTATGCGGTAGTTCAGCCCCACTGCGCCGACTGCGGGTCTCAACTGGGTCGTCTCCACCCGGGTCTCACTGTCCAGGTCGCAGATCCGCACCGCCAAGTATGTGCGCGAGGGCATTTGGGCACGTGGGGATTATGGGTCACCTGGTGCATCCGATGAAGGAGACGGTTCGTGGGGTTTGCGAAGGGGGGGATGAGTCGGAAGACCCAGCGGGCAGGAATTGTTTTGATTGCGGAAGGACGAGGGATGGACAAGTCCTACACAACTAGATACAACTAGTATCATAGGCCCCCGCCAAAACCCCTCTGGGCTCCCATAGGTTTGGTGCGGTGCGGGAACATGAGTCGGTCTCTCTCCGAATAAGTGCAATAGGTTTCATGTTACTGTAATTTCTTTCTTCGCTCCTAGCTCGCAACCTCCCAATTACTTCAAATGAACACATGGACCGCCTGAAGCTCATTTTCCTTGAGCAAAAGGTGTAAGTAGCAGTGGGTGTGCCTTTGTCTTTCATATGCTTTCCATGTATATACTGTATATATATATATAATCCCGTCCTCCTAATAATAAACACGGCCCCCCCCCCTATTAAAAAAACCTCGGTCGCATTTTTTCTAATAGGGGGTCCCTGAAATCGGGGGGCCCAAAATAGGGTCACCTGGAAACAGTTTCAAAACCAAAAAGTAATCCAGGAAAATTTTATATAAAATCCTTTATTAAACTCATATCAAAAATGCAAAAAACCGCCAGATCGAAGGCCTCCTTTTCCCCTACAAAAACCTTCATTAGAATAGTGATTCTTCAGTAGACTAACAGCTAAAGCTTTCGAAAGGTGATGCCGCTGTGCCATGCGGTGTTGCATGACCTCGGTGGCAAGTGCGTTTGCGTGAGTCCGTGCCATTGAGGGAAGGAAAGCCTGCTGGTGTAAGCGCGGCGTGTCATGGTGGAGTTTTGGGGAACCTAATTAAAAAAACTACCACCAAAATCGACCATGTTGGTAGTTTAGTAGCGGTTTGAAATTAAAACCAAATATAAACCGAATTTAGGGGTTCGGACGTGGTGTTTTTTTAGTTGGGGAGTGTTTATTAATAGGTACTCGGGATTATGTATATCCATATACACGCCTAGAACCCACTTGACCTCTGTTTTGATAGGAAGAGACCATGTGTTGCCTCCAAAATAGGGGGTCAAAAAGGTTCTATAGGTGTATATATATATACACATGTTATACGTCCATGTTCAACCTTCCGTTTCTTCGCGCGTCGTCAGACCCGCGGGCCCGGGCCGCCACCTGAGGCTCTACACCATGGATGACCCACGGATCTTTCGGCCGGGCCTGCGGCGGCAGTATCCCTATCACAAGCAGCTGCAGTGGAGCAAGCCATACATGTGCCACTTGGTCTGAGTCCGAGTCGGTCCTTTCTTTGCCAAGGTGAACAGGAAGGTTGGCCCGAAAATAAGGTCTATACACATCCGTACTGGATCGCTCATGGCTCGACCTGGGTTTCTAGTCTTTGGCGAAGAGATCTTGACAGCATCTTCCAGTTTTCTTTGGATTTGGTGTTGTCTTGAGGTTGGGCATATGAGGATGTTTCGGTTTCAAGGGGCTGGCGGCTGGACAGCGGATCTCCAGCAAGAATGCCGGGCCCTGTTGCCAGGCTCTTGACTTGGACACCAATTTCTTTAAACCATAAATCCTTCTTGATCATCGTTTGATCCCTATTCGCTTAGAAGGATCTGCGAACTGACTGCCCGGATCCTTGGATCCTCCGGGTTTACCCAGGCCTCCGGCATGGCCGCGCTGCGCCGCCCGGCGGCGCCGTGCACCTGGCCGTGGTCTACCGGCAGTTCGAGTTGGCGCCGGCAAGAGGGTAGGGACAGGAGTTGGTGGTTGAGGTGTCTCTCTTGAAGTCTAGGCCATGTGAGGCATGAGGCATAGGCAGGATGAGGACGACTTTTGGTCAAGACCTTTTCTTTTTGCTGCAGCCCTTCCTTTTATTAAGCCTCGTCCGTCAAGGATGCGTCTAACCGCCCACGGGCTTAAGTTGGCGCATACATGATCAATGAGGCATAAGCTGGGTCGGCATGGGTCCTGCCCTGTGTCTTTCCATGTCCGCCACCGCGGTGGCCGGTCCTGCCGTGATCCACCGATCCACCGTCTGAAGAGTCCGTTCTGAAGCGCTCCGTCTGAAGCGCTGGAGATTCTCTTTCAAAGGAGGTCGTCTATATCATGCACAGTAGTGACGTGTACGGTGTCACTATAGTGTGTCTTTGCTGTTGTTTGAGATCGCCGCGGCGATCGTCCATTCTTTTGGGTTTTGGGGACGGTTGCTGAGTTGGTGGCTCGATCGCGCCTGGGCCAGGCCTTTTACGACTTCCAGAGGCGCTTGAAATGTGAGCTCCCAGGTGCCAAGGTCGTGGCCGAGGCGGTGGACCCGAATACCAACGCCTCCACCGAGCGGCTGGGCTAAGCAGGGGGCAGGGGCAGGTGATACAAAAAAGTGAGTTCGACATGACAATGAGCATAAGAGCCCTGATGAGCCCTGATGAGCCCTGAAGGTGCCCGAAACTTCAATCTGTAGGCCAAAACTTCTCGGCTTCCTAATGGTGAGAAGGCGCCCGTTACACCAAGAAAACCGTTGGTCTTTTCATCGCTCAATTGCGATGAACAAACCCCACATCAAGGTCCGTCGCCCAGTCCATCCCTTTTCCGCGGCCGCCCAGTTCCTATTTTCAGATCATCCGCTTGAACGACGGGCGGACTCTGTGGGCGGCGAGCGAAACGGAGGAGGCACCAGTTTGGAGGGCCGGAGGAGGCGATTCTTCAGAATAGCTGAGGAGGAAAGTACTCTTGCAGACCATTTGTATAGAAAAGGACGCTACTAGGAACAAAGGGCATCGCTGCTAGGAGCAAGGACGCTACTAGGGGCTCCTGGCCTTACTACTAGGAACAAGAAGCTATTAGTAACAAAGGGCATCGCTGGAGTGCTTTCTACAAGTCCAGTCGGGCTAAGTTAAACCTGGTCCTTGACCTCATTGAGTACTGGTTTTGGTATTTTCCCGGATCCAGTCTAATGGGGTCCGTAAGACTCTGTAAGACCTGTAGGGGCCTGTAGGGTTTCTTCAACGCATTGGGCTGTGAATTGAGACCATCCCTTCGTTGGAACTGCCGCTTCCAGGTGAAGAATCGCTTGTCTGAATTGGAGGCCAAGCGCAAGGAATTCCAAAAGGCGGGCGGTGGGATTGGGGGAGGTCAATCCGTCCAGGACGGGCTGAGCCAGGTGACTGGAACATATATTTAATACAACGCACACGTGCTGTAGATGACCTAATAAAAGAGGGCTTGGTTTTTCATGCCATGTTTCCATTGCCTGGGTTGGTACCTTTGCGTGTTGGGGGGGGGCCATCCTGGATTTGAGCCAATTGATTTTTCTTGAAACAG